GGTCCGGTACAGGGGCAACACTGAGGGTTGCGATCCGTTGCTGGACACGGAAAAAGACAAAAAAGACAAAAAAAAAAAAAAGGGTTTTGTTTCTTGGTAATCATTTCTTTTTTTTTTTTTTTGTCCTTTTTGAGACCGGCCACACCACGCTCAGCCAGTGAGCAGGAACAGTCCGTATGTGGGATCCGAACCCTCGGGCGGGAGCGCCGCCACGCTTCCCAAGTGGCGCACTATCCAGTGCACCACTGGGCCGGCCCCGAAACAAAACCCTTTACAAGCTCAAAGGAAAGATGTCGCTCGGCCCCTCTGGAAATGGACAGCAGCAACAACGGAAGGCTTCATCTAACAACAGGGGTAGCAAGCAAACAGTAGGTGCCCAATAAATCTTTGTTGAAGAACAGAAAATGAATGCTAGATATACTAACGTGTAAACCTAGAAATGACCAAATTGCTAAAACAGCCCATTATTCTGACTAGTAAATAGGCACAGGGACAGCCACAGCAAAACCACAGCCTCTCCAAACCACTCGGCCACTGGCTGCAGCACATGCCACCTGCAGCCCTGGGGGAAAGCTGACAACCCACTGCTGAGCTGAGCGCTGAGCTGAGCATAAGGGCTCTGAGCACTGACACGTGAGCAGGTGCTGAAACAGTGCAGACAGGAGTCAGCAAACTTGTTCTAGAAAGGGCCAAATGGTAAATATTTTTGGCTTTGCAGGCCACACGCTCTCCGTCACAGCTACTCAACTAACTCTGCCCTTGAAGCGTGAAAACAGCCACCGATAACGCCATGTGTTCCAGTAACACTTTACAAAAACAAGCAGCAGGCTCTAGTAAGAGGTCTCTGCAAGCCCCACTGATGGGACTGGCCAATACTACAGAGTGGACAGTGGGCCACACACAGCGGCCCTTCCAACCTGGCACACAGGGCTGACATGATTTCCTCCCATAGAGCTGCGTCCAAGGTCTTTCGCTCCCAACCAGCTGAGTGTGCAGCTTATCCCACCGCATACGCAGACCTGAGACAGCAACTCTTTCTCTTCAGTGACATACATTCCAGAATTCTGCAGTCAATCAAATCCACTCAACTGTAACTGCAAATTCAGGATGATTGCTGAATACCTGGCAAGCAACACAATCGCCTGTATTGTATCAGTTAACAGACCACACTCGAGTGGCGTGAGGAGGAAAGGGGATAAAACCAGATCACCTAGGTAATGGAGGTCATCAGGTCTCCCAGTCCCTGTGTTCTCCACACCGGGCACTTACTTGATTTTTAGCAAGTTGAGGGATTTGTTAGATGATGCTGTTATCTCTCCAGTCTTGTTTCTATTGATGTAAACTGAGAAGCCATTATTTTGGAAGCCAAACTCCTTTGCAACCTAAAAAGTTGCAAACAATAGAGATTTAATAAAATATTTAAGTATCAGTACACATACCACACATACATCAGATATTACTAGAAGAATACTGACTAGATTTAGAAACTGCTCGGCATTAACCAAATCCTCTTGTTATTTTACTCTTTTCAGAAAATGTATAGTGCTCATGCAGGTGTCATCATCAGAGAAATGGCCAAAAAGCAGCAAAGGTCTCGTGTGAACGATAAAATTGTGTGAGACATTGAAGAGGTTGAAGCAAGACCATGGCCACTTTTGGAAAGTTTAATTTTTACTTTGAAACCAAATGTAAAACTCCAGCTCCAGTTCTGACACCTAACAACAGAAGGGAGACAAGGGCAGAATGATGCCACCAACTCCACCACAAATGCCTGCTGGGCGGGGCGCTCTGCTGGACGCCAGGAATGCTCATCCGCTCATCAGCAGGTGTCAGGCAGTCCCATGTCCTGGGCTCCACTCCAGATGCTCAGAACACAACAGTGGATTAAAAAAGATAACACCCTCTCTCGAGGATCTTACCATCCAATGGGGGAGACAAAGTCAACAAAGGCAAGAATTACAGGTTGAGATAAACACTATGACAGAAGAGGAAAAGGGAGGACCACAGGAGAGGCCACTCCCAATGGGAGGCCAGAAGTCTCTCTGCAGAGACGTAGATGAGCAGAGCCCCAAAGGCGGAGAGTAAGCCATCACGCACAGAGCCAAAGAGAACACCGCAGGCAGGAGCAGCTAGGACAAAGGCCAGGAGGCAGTAAGGGCAGTGAGAAGACAGAGGCCAGAGCCCAGTAAGCAAAATGAGGCTGGCGAGGTAGACAGGGGCCCAGACACACAGGACCACGTGAGTTGTGAGGATTTTGGATTCCATCCCAGGAGCCATGGAAAGCCATGGGGCTGAGGGCAGGGGGTCACTGAGTCCCTGTTTCTCAACAGCACTCTGCCAGAGAGACAAGGCCAGGACAGCAGGGATGGAGGGAAGAGCACACCTTCCAGCTGTGGGCATCAGCAGCCCCTGCTAATGGGCAGGATGAGGGGCGGGCATGGAGTAGGAAAAGGAAGGACTTCAAGGTGGGGCTTAGATTTCTGGCTTGAGCAACTGGGTGAAGGTGACACCTGAAAGGGAATGAGGGAATGATGAAAGTGAAGGTATCAAATAATTATAGTACATCTGATATAAAATCCTAATTTTGTCTTGAGAACATTTCTGTCATCACTTTCACAAATTTCAGAATGGAAAAGTGATTTGAAGTTATCTTTTAATCTTTTTTTTCCCACTGTGTGGAATAAAGCTACCTCCCCTAATACTAAGTGACCAGAGCTTTCTGCTTTATGCAGGTCTCTTGTAGGACAGAGAAGGAGCCGCGTTTTCAAACAGGATGGCCGGAAACAGCACTTCCTATGTGCTGAGTCCCACTTCTGGCAGATGCAGAAATATGCATAGAGTATGATACTCCTATGAATATTGTGCCTTCTTTATCTACAGGTATAGAAATCTAACATAAAGCACTGGGGATTTAAAAAATACCTCAGCAGAGTCTTACAAGAGTATGATTAAAATCTTAAAAACTTGGGCCGGCCCGGTGGCGCACTGCTACAGTGCGCCGCTTGGGAAGCACGGCAGCGCTCCCGCCGAGGGTTCGCATCCCACATACAGACCGGCCGCTCACTGGCTGAGCGAGGTGCGGGAGCAACACCGAGGGTTGCGATCCCGTTGCTGGTCCCGGTCCGGTACGGGCACGACACTGAGGGTTGCGATCCATTGCCGGTCACGAGAAAAGGAAAAAAAAAAATCTTAAAAACTTGGGCCGGCCCGGTGGCGCACTGGAGAGTGCGCCGCTTGGGAGCGCTGCGGCGCTCCCACCAAGGGTTCGGATCCCATGTGGATACTGGTTCCCGCTCACTGGCTGAGCACGGTGCGGGCGCAACACCGAGGGTTGCAATCCCGTTGCCGGTCCCCGGTATGGGCACGACACCAAGGGTTGCGATCCCGTTACCGGTCAGTAAAAAAAAAAGACAAAAAGAAAAAAAAAATCTTAAAAACTTTATATTCACACCTGAGGTAAACTTGATGTATATAAAATAATATTCTGAATGTGATATTATAGGCAGACTCTATGCCTTTAATTTCACTTTATGTATGCATAAGAATTATATGTGATTAAAATAACTTCTAAGTAAGTCTAAAAAAGCACTTTATGTAAGTATAAGATAAAATTCCAAATGACAAGGAAAAGCAGGTGTGACCATTTTTCTTTCTTAGTGGTACATGACATTTCTTATTAAACTCAATAGTGTCTTAGATCTAATGAAATACAGCAATAGTATAGTACAATCCTATTTTGGTGAAAGTATGTGTATACATATGAGTAAATATAAGGGTACTTCAAAAAGTTCGTGGAAAGATTTGTATTACCTTTTAATTCTATTCTTCCAGGAATTTTTTTTTTTTTTTTTTTTTTTTTTTTTGCAGCTGGCCAGTATGGGAAACCAAACCCTTGACCTTGCACTCCACCCGAGTTAACTGGCCAACCTATAAAAGCCTCCTTGAAAAAGTGGCCTGGTACCTTGAATACGTGGTTACAAGCCTTGCAGTGAGTAAAGGACGTCACTTCCCGACAGGCCTGGGAATTTCAGGGTATTTTGGGGGAATTCAAGCGAGAAGAATTCACCCAATCTTAGGTACTGAAGGTAAAGTATTTCTTTTGTTGTTCGTTTTTTTGTTGGCTGGCCAGTATGGGGATCTGAACCTGTGAGCTTGGTGTCATAAGGCTGTGCTCTAACCACTTACTGTGCCAGCCCCCAAGGAGCTTTTTCCAGTGTCCTCATGTGTGTGGGCACGCATGCATGAGCAGATGTAAAGACACACTATGTTAAAAATTGTTATTCTGAGTGGTAAAATTACAAGTGATTCTTACTTGCTTCTTTATACCTTCTGTATTGCTCGTCCTTTTATAATAAAATATATTATTTTCATAATCAGAGGAAAGAATTTTTATTTGGGGGAAAACATACTTCAGAGTAACTAATGTGTTTGTTTTTGAGTACTCTCAAGAAAATTTCTCCTAAGCAATGACTAGTGTACTAACGGTGACTTCAGTGACCCAGCAGTCAACTCTAAACCACAGCTCACATACTCCACTTCCAGTGACTAGCTGTCATGTCTGTACTTTCCTATGCAAGACAACAAAGAACCACCCTCAGGGAAATAACCAGAATTTCAGAACACTTCCGAAACAAATAAAGTTAGAACAACAACACTGTATTTTTAGGTTTCTCTGAAACCTTCTGAATTTAGCCTGTTTGACAATTCTACATTTTATACCAAGCACAAAAACCTCAAGTTAAAAACAAAACAAAATCATTAAAAAACAAAAATGAAATCATTATCTCTAAGTGGTTACTATAGACTAAAGTTTAAGAAATCTCCCTATCACAAAACCTTAGAAAAGTAGACAACTCTATGTCCTCCTTGTATTTCTGGTGTTTATCCCCACAATTTTCTAAGCAACTGCTACTTAATCTTTGTCTCAGATGATTTCCCAAGAATTCTAACATTAAGGCTGGCAGGTTAGATCAGTTGGTTAGAGCGTGGTGCTAACAACACCAGGGTCAAAGGTTCAGATCCCCGTACTGGCAGCTGCCCCCCAAAAAGAAAGAATTCTAGCATTTATTAAATCATAATATCCCTAGGTACAAGCTGATATGGTTAGCTGCCACTAAAAGAGCCATGAGTAGATTATTAAAATTTTCTTGAAGACTTGTAGATTCTCTTCTCTGCTATCTATTGCACCTAATTCTTTTTCCTTTTATTCTTATAAATATGGTCACTTAACTACTGCAACTGGAAACATGATAGCAACCGTACTCTAGAAATCAAACTTCCCAAATAAGTTGTAACTTCACTGACAGATTACAGGCCTAGTGTGACCCTCAGCAAAACTTTACCTCTCCAGCCTTCAATCTCCACCTTTGTGAAAATAAAAAGATTAGACTATATAACACTGAAGAATCCCTCTTGCTCTAATATGCATTAGACATTATACAGTATATATAATTTGGTTTTGTTCATAAAACTTTTTTACTTTTGAAAAAGGAAAAATTGTATATGAGTATATGAGGGTGCTTCAAAAAGTTCCCCCCAAAATTCACACTACTTTTCAATTCCATTTTCCCACAAGTTTTTTGAAGTGTCCTGCTTGAACAAATTCAAATAACACAGAAATATATAAAATGGGCTGGCAAACTTCTTCTGTAAATGGGCCAGATAGTAAATATTTTCAGCTTTACATACAAAATGGGCCATATAGTCTCTATACACAACTATTCAACTCTGCTGCTATAGCTCAAAAGCAGCCATAGGCATACAAACTAATGAGTATAGCTTTGTTCCAAGAAAAATTTACTTACAAAAATAGGAGGCCAGAGACATTGGTCAAAGGATACATAATCACAGTTACATAGGAGGAATAAATTTCAAGAGATCTATTGCAAAAAAAAAAAAAAGGAGGCTGGTCCTTGCCAACCTCTGGTATAAAGTCTAAAGCAAAAGCCACCCTCCTTACTTCAGACCTCTCCTCCTGGGTTGCCCGTTTTGAGTCTGGCTTGTGCTCCCTCACACTGCTTTCTGTGCTCACACAGATGTGTGCACGTGGCTTTAATTTTTTAAAAATAGAGTGGGATCATTCTACACATGTTTTTAACAATTCCCCTTTGACAGACGACAGTTTTCTTTTTTCTTATTTCCAAATTTTCACTATCACAAATATTACCCCTAGGAAATACCTTTACGCTTACCTTTGGGGTCTTGGTCCTACAATTTTAAGCAGTGATCAGCTGTGACACACATCTGATGCTGTAGCAATCCCACCCAACCACGATAAAGAAAAGCCACATCAGGCAATTTGGCAGTGGGAGGAATTAGGAAATGAGGAAAAGAGAAAAGGTGTAGATGGGAATCACAATGGAAAATGGAAAGGATGAGGAAGGCAAACACACAAGCCACAGATACCTTTTTCAAAAATGTTGCAGCTGTTTCTCTCTTTGTTGCCGTGATCCTCTTCACCCCATCTGGGGACTGGACACGGATTATCTGTTGTAAATGAAACAAGATGGTGACTGAACAGCCTAGTGAGGTCCTGATCTATTACTATGACTCAGATCTGTAGTCTTCAGCATCTGGATCGCTGAAACTTAACACCAAACCTCACCATTTCCCTTTCAATACCCAACTCAATCTTTTTAGAAGATGAACCAGAGGGGTGAGACTCATCAACATGGGGGAGACACCCTAAGAGCACTGTCCTGATTGCCAACTCTTATAGCCTCACTCAGAAAAATACAACTTCAATTTTTTTTATTTTTAAAAGATGACCGGTAAGGGGATCTTAACCCTCGACTTGGTGTTGTCAGCACCACCCTCAGCCAGTGAGTGAACCGGCCATCCCTATGTGGGATCCGAACCCGGGGCCTTGGTGTTATCAGCACCACACTCTACCGAGTGAGCCACGGGCCGGCCCACAACTTCAATTTTTAACCATTATATACAAAGAGTATTTTTATTTTTGGTGGCTGGCCAGTACAGGGATCTAAACCCTTCGTCTTGGTGTTACAACACGGTGCTCTAACCAACATGAGTTAATACAAAAAGTATTTCTGAAACACTTTCTTTCTCTTTAAACTTAAAAAAAAAACAGAATCTCACCATGAATCACAATGACTGGGTTCTTTAGTAGAGTTTTTATTGATTTTGTTTGTTCTGTTTTTGGCAGCTAGCCAGTATGCGTAGGGTTTTTAAAACCATATTTCCATGGTAAGCCTGAAAAGGTTGGCCTGCCTGGAAGACTACTGGACAAAGAACATCGATTTTCATGTTGATCAAAGCCCTTCTGAAGGTGGGTTATCACGTCTGGCCAACTGTACAAGTCCATGCTTTAGTCAGGGAGCATGAAATGGCATGCCCTACTGCAAACAAGACAGATGCTGTTCCAACCACCTGGAGGATGGGAGGAAAGACAGACAGGAATATGCCAAAAAATGCTCATGCTGTGACTTCTCCCCTCAGCAGTTACTGATGGTGTGCTGAATTTAAAACAGTGCTATGCAGACAAAAAAATGTCACAAGCCATTGTTTAAAAAAAGATTTACACGATACCTGAGGAAGTGCCACAATGGCTTCCAGTCTACTAAACGTTGTCCACTTTTATCAAACTAATTAAGGATAGGGCCAGCCCATGGCTCACTTGTGAGTGTGTGGTGCTGATAACACCAAGGCCACGGGTTCAGATCCCATATAGGGATGGCCGGTCAGCTCACTTGGAAGAGCGTGGTGCTGACAACACCAAGTCAAGGGTTAAGATCCCCTTACCGGTCAGCTTTAAAAAAAAAAAAAAAAAAAAAAACTAATTCAGGATAATCTAGATTTTCCTAAAATAGCGTGACCCTGTCTCTCATTTTCTAATAATTTTCACCTGGCTGAAAAGGCTTTGCCCTCACATGTTCCAAACTTTTAAAATATTGTTTTGAATAATCCTATGAATATCCCAGTTGTTAAGACGTTATTTTATACCTTTTTGCTTCTTAGCCACATCTGTTTAATTCTCTCACTCATCTGTGTTAAATGTGAATACAGATGAATTCTTTCGACTTCTGATTTCTAGTACACTTCATTTTGGATTCAATACCTAGGAAAAATGTTCTCATAATACACAGCATTAGATAAATACTTCTATTTACTTGTTTCTAACATCTGTCTATAACGTTGAGGCATGTCAAAAGTGAAGAACTCTGTTCTCTGAGATTCTGTGAATGTTCCTCTAACTGATCACTGAGGAACAAGAGCACGTCTCCTCCACTCCTTGAGGAACTGTCCGGCTGAAGAGTTCTCAAGCTTAAGATCCTCTAGGGCCGGCCTGTGGCTCACTCGAGAGAGTGTGGTGCTGAGAACACCAAGGCCCCAGGTTCAGATCCTATATAAGGATGGCCGGTTAGCTCACTGGGTGAGCGTGGTGCTGACAACACCAAGCCAAGGGTTGAGATCCCCTTACTGGTCATCTTTAAAAAAAAAAAAGAAGATCTTCTGATCCCCACACCAGCCAGCCACCAAAAAAATTTAAAAAAATAATAGTGAGTCATCCACCTTGATCTTCTACAACAAGGATGGGAGTCCAGGTTTCCAAAACCAAATCCAGTATTAAACAAAAGACAAACATAACTCACACCGAAGAAAGTTCTGGCTTGACCTTTCACATAGTCTACAAAATAAAATACACCGAGGAGACAGATCTGGCAACATGGACATATACCTTCGGTAACTTAGGTTTCCCTATTTATAAGAATATCAGCCAGAATACTTCCTGAGGGAGCTGAAAAGTTGGTGATATACAAACCAGTTATACAGATAGAAATTTTTTTTAAAAGACCACTTCCTACACACAAAAAACTTTTGAAATTAATTTCACTTGTAAGGTTTTTTTTTTTTGGTGGCCGGCAGGATCCAAACTCTTGACCTTGGTATTATAACCCCTCACTTTAAACCAACTGAACTAATCGGCCAGACCCTGAAATCAATCTCAGCTGTGTCTGTTATTAATTCCCTACAATCTGAGAATTTGACAAGAGACCCAAAGCTATCAATACGACCTGCCTTATATACACTAGTGGAAAAAAGCTCTTATCTGAAACAACTCACTTGTCGATGGCTACTTTAACACAGTTAAATTGCAATAATAAATAGAAAGTTTGAAAGCAGACTTGAGTGCTAATTCCTAACCTATTTCTAGGTAAAATCACCAATTATTAGCAAATTTTATGTTTAAAAGGAGTCCACGTTTCTGAAGTTTCTCTTGTGCCATTTATACATTTTGCTCGTCTCCAGACTGGGAAACGTGAAGGAGACAGGAGGAACCCTGAACTAAGAGACGGAACCATGGGCCGGCCTGTGGCTCACTCGGTAGAGTGCGGTGCTGATAACACCAAGGCCACGGGTACGGATCCTATATAGGGATGGCTGGTTAGCTCACTGGCTGAGCGTGGTGCTGACAACACCAAGTCAAGGGTTGAGATCCCCTTACCGGTCATCTTTAAAAAAAAAAAAAAAAGAGACGGAACCATGACAGAAAAGCTGTATGCTCAAGAGCGGGATTTTCCTGGAGAACCGGGACATCCAGAAAGGACTGCCCTCTCCATGCTGGATGGCTGGCAAAACTGCAGAGGCTGCCTCAGTGCTCAAGCATGAACACTGCTTGTCACCCAACACTGCTCTGCTTCCCCCCAAATCCCAAGTACTCCCTAATGGTAACCAAAATTCTTCTGTCCAACTGGTCTGTTAATTTTGCCCCTGTCACACGTACGAGGGTCCTTCAACGAGCTCATGAGGGGACCTTCCCACAAGTTAACAAAGGACTGGTTCGTTTTCTCATCTTTCGTTGACGTTCCTTACTTTAAGGGGAAGGGAGTGTGACAATTCCTCATTCAGGTATAAAGTGAAATCAACCCTTTTGACAGCGTTCCTGGTCAACAGGTGGCTGTCAGGTTCTCCTCGCAGCCGAGGAGCAGAACCCGCCAGCTCCTGTGTCCTCCGCCCCTCGCGGGGAGAAGTTCCTGGACGTCCCATGTGCAGAAACAGCCCTGCTCTGAACGACTCACGACCAGGCGCCTCCCGGGAGGGCGGAGGAGGCAGGAGAGCCGGCAGGAGAGGAGGAGAGCGTGGTGCTGAAGACACCAAGGTCAAGGCTTCGGATCCCCGTGCTGGCCAGCTGCCAAAAAAAAAAAGACAAGATGTCAACGTACGTAAACTTTAGACTTGGCTGGTGTGACAATACCACGTTCACTCGGTTAGAGCCCGGTATTGTCACACCAATGGCTCAGGCCCTTGGGCCAGCCAGCCAAAAAAAGCACAAACCTTAATCTTGTGCTTCATATTTAATGTGTTAGTATTTTAACTTTTTTTTTTTTTCTGGCCCTGTTCTGGGAGAATTAACTTATTTAGAAATGACCCAGATAGGGCCGGCCCATGGCTCACTCGGTAGAGTGCGGTGCTGATAACACCAAGGCCCTGGGTTCGGATCCCATATAGGG